CAGTGGAGGAATCCAGGACCGCAGGGAGCGGACTGTTTTGTTTTGGTCTTGGCGTGTATGGGAGCAGTTGTGGGCAGAGAGGATGCTTAGTCTGCCAGCCTCCCTACGCATCAGAAAAGCTTGAGAAACGTTTTAGTGCCTCACTTTCCCTTCATTAGTCAGTATTGTTTAGGATGACTGTTAGAGTAGGTGCCTTCTCTAGGATTGTGGCTAGAAAATGAGAGGTTTGTTTTCACTGGCCAACTGAATTGGATTAGCCAGGCTGTTTTCTCTCACTGCTCTGGAAAATAGTAGTCACCACCTCCCCTGACTCCGCCCCTAAACTAAGTTTAAAAGTTTACCGAGGGTGCTGAGATTAAACGGCTTTATCTTGGTTCGTATTTGGTGGAGAGGCTAAACTTTTGCCAACTTTTGTTTGAGACAGAACTCTCACCTTGTAGCCAAGATTGGCCTTGAACTTACTGTGTAACCCAGCCTGGCCTTGATGCTTCTCCTGTCTGCCTCCAGAGTGCTGGAATTACAGGCATGTGCCACCACACCCAACTTCCAACGCATTATCTAAAATTTCAGTTTCACTTCATTTCCCTTTCCCTCCCCCTCGCCCCCAACTAACAAGCGTGCATGCGTGTGTGTGTGTGTGTGTGTGTGTGTGTGTGTGTGTAGGTGTAGGTGTAGGTGTAGATGTTGGAGAATAAATACCTGCTTTCAGCTTGTCAGCTTGTTTGTGTTTATATTATAATTAGGTACTGGGATTTTGTATAACTTGAGCATTTCCTCTAACTTTCTTTCTTTCTTTCTTTCTTTTTTTTTTTTTTTTTTTTTTGGAAAAGGGTTAGATTTACTGGATATGGATATACTTTGATTCCCATTCTAGGGAGGGAGGTGGAGAAGAAACAAAATCAGACAGAGGCAGGGGGGACGATTAAAGGCGTGCACCACCAACGCCTGGCTTCCTCTAACTTTCTTATTAAACATGTATTAATTATTTGTAGTAGTTTCTCCACTCTAAGCAACAGATACTTAACAAAACAACCCTGTTTACCATTTAGTAAGTTCATGGACTTTGGAAAGTGGTTTATAAACTCCTCTACTCTTGTTCTTTTCCTTTGTTTTTTGAGTCAGGATCTCATATAGCCCAAGCAGATCTCTAACTCTCTGTAGCTGAGGATGGCCTTAAACTCCAGATCTTGCTGTCACTTCCCAAGTGCTAGGATTTGTAGGCATGAATTTGACTGGGCTCTAGTATTCTTGAGTCCCTTAGTCCTTTGGTGTTTTGAGAGCATGTCACAATCCTTCCGTTGGTGCCTAGGAAAAGCTCCTCTAATGGAACTTTTTTCCCCTTATATTCTATCATCATAGTAGCAGTTAGTCTCAGTATTCTAGGCAGTATTTTCTTGAAATGATTCTGCTGGTTGTTGTTAAAGAGTTGGTGAGGATGAGTGGAGTTGAAGATTATAAAGGGAACTGCTTCTTGCTTGCTTCAGTAGGAGGTATGTGATTGGGGATTGGTATCCTAAAGTTGTAGATTTGCCCTGGTCAAGTTCACACACTGTAGTTGCAGATATTTTCCCAGAGATATCTAAGACTGGGTTGTTATACATACCCCCTCAAATGTGTGTATAAATGTATGTTTACATATGTAATATAGTAAGTAAATATATGATGTAATATATGATAAATATATACCAGTAAATATGTTTATGCAATGCTGAGGATTGCCTCTAGTGGCCTCCTGTATGCTAGGCAAATGCTGTACTACTGAGCTATATTCCCTGCCCCCTTCCTAATATGGTAAAAGAATTTAGCTAGCCTAGAAAAATGTTGCAGACAGGAGGAAAGACTAAACCAGGTGTGATTATACACTTGTGCAGTCCCAGAACTTGGATGGCCAAGGCAGGACTGTGACTTTGATATCTTTCTGGGCTGTATAGTGAGACTCTGACTCCAAAAAAGAGAAAAAAAAAAAAAAAAAAAAAAAAAAAAAAAAAGAAAGAAAGAAAGGAAAAGAGTTGACTAATAGGCTACATAGACAGGATAGTTTAATGTCTGAATATATTCAAGATCCTTGATTCTGATATAATGAAGTAGTTTGAGATCAGAATATGAGTATGACTTGGATAGGTCAAGAGAATATTACCCCTCCATTTCCATAACTCAAGTGCATGTAACTATAACACAGTTAAATTCTTAGCCTCACTGGTTACTGAACACATAACTCCAAATTTCTGCCTTTGTAGAAACATTCTTCCCTGCCCACCAGTGCTAGTATTTGGATATGTAATTCTTGCTTATTTTTGTTGTGGTGGTGGTTATGTAACTAGAATGACAACTTTTCTTCCTTCTCTTCTCCATTATTCTTTTCTTTTGTGTTGTTTCCTCCTATCAACAATACTAGAAAACATGAAGGAATTAAAGGAACCCAGGCAGCGCAAAGATAATAGGCGCCCAGATTTGGAAATCTATAAGCCCGGACTTTCTCGACTAAGGAACAGACCTAAAACTAAGGAGGCTCCTGGGAGTGAGGAATTTAAGGATGAGATTGTAAATGACAGAGATTCTTCTGTTGGGAATGATTCACAGCTTATTAAAGTTTGCAAGGAATTGGACAGCCAACAGCAAAATGGTCCTACAGATCCAGAAAATCGTCAAGCACAGGAGACTTTCTCAAAGACTGTTGGACTAGAGGACCGGAGTCTACGAATCATTAAGAGAATAAAGAAACCTGACCTGCAGATCTATCAGCCTGGGAGGCGTTTGCAGACCATAACCAAAGAGTCAGCTAGCAGGGCAGATGAGGAAGAAATCCTCAATCAAGTGGAACAATTGAGGATTGAGGAGGATGAGTGTAAGGGAAAAGCTGTTAAAGAAGAAGTTGTGAATAAACCAGACAAAACTGAGGCAGAAAAGAACCAAACTAATGACCGAGTAAGAACTGCCAAGGGAGAAAAGGGAAAAAAGATTGAAAAGGGGGAGGGGACAAAGAAGGTGAATGATGACTCTGTCCAAGGGAAACCTGGTTCTGTAAAGCGGTACTCCCGATCAGACAAACGAAGGAACCGCTACCGCACTTGCAGTACCAGCTCAGCTGGTAGCAACAACAGTGCTGAGGGAGCTGGCTTGACTGATAATGGATGTCGCCGGCGGCGCCAGGATCGGACCAAGGAGAGGCCACGACTGAAGAAGCAGGTATCTATGTCTTCAACTGATTCCTTAGATGAGGACAGAGTTGATGAGCCTGATGGATTAGGGTCCAGGAGGAGCTCAGAAAGGAAGAAGCATTTAGAAAGAAATTGGTCTGGCCGAGGCGAGGGTGAACAGAAAAGCAATGGTAAAGAAAACCGAGGCACCCTTCGAGTCACTTTTGATGCAGAAACCATGAGTAAAGATTCCCCCATGGTGAGATCAGCCAGGGAGAATGTGGAGAAAATAAAGTCTGACAAAGGCCCAAGCAGTGGGGGCAAGGGCTCTGAGAAGCAGGAGTTCAAAAATCCGAAACAAGAACTTCGAAGTCGTGGTCGTGGCATTCTGATTCTGCCTGCCCATACTGCCCTATCTGTCAGTTCATCGGGTTCTCCAGAGTCTACACCTTTGGGACCTCGACTTTTATTTGGATCTGGTAGCAAGGGATCTCGGAATTGGGGACGTGGAGGCACTACGCGCCGACTATGGGACCCAAACAATCCTGATCAGAAGCCTGCTCTGAAAAGCCAGACACCCCAGCTACATTTCTTGGACACTGATGATGAAATCAGCCCTACATCTTGGGGTGATTCACGTCAGGCCCAAGCATCTTACTATAAATTTCAAAACTCTGACAACCCCTATTATTACCCTCGGACACCAGGCCCTACCTCTCAGTATCCCTATACAGGCTATAGTCCTATGCAGTACCCAGTGGGCCCTGCAAATGGTATGTATCCAGGGCCTTATTACCCAGGCTATCCTGCCCCCTCAGGACAGTATGTATGTAGTCCTCTCCCTGCCAGCACCATGAGTCCTGAAGAGATAGAGCAGCACATGCGGAACATGCAGCAACAGGAGCTACATAGGCTTCTCCGAGTGGCTGACAACCAGGAATTGCAGCTTAGCAACCTGCTTTCCAGGGACCGCATCAGTACTGAGGGCATGGAGAAGATGGCTCAGCTCAGGTATTTTGTGTGTTTTCCTACTATCTTGCTTAGAGGGAAATAGACAACAGTAAGGTTCCTGTGGCTGAGGAAGGTAGAGACTTCTTAGGTAAGCCACCGAGTGTTACCTCCCTTTCACAGGGATCTCTGCCCCTCCCAGCCCCACTTGGGTATGGATATCAAGCCCAGAGCCTGGTGAATCTTAGAATAAGTGCCCTACCACTGAGCCATACTTTAAGCCCCTTTACACTGATTTTTATAAGGAACAGGTAGTTGGGAAAATAAGTTTTAATTCTAGTCTTAGAAATAAGTATGCTTTTGACTTTAAGGGGAAAAAACATGTCTTTAAGGGAATATAGGATTTCCAGAATGCCAATTTCCAGCATGCACTAAAGAACTTATTTCAGCTCTTCAGTGTAGGTGTGCACATATGGGAATATGCTATTTTCCTAGGTGTAAATGTCTTTGGAATGGCATTCTATTGTACAGAATAGAACCGTATGAGTAGGATACCTGGTCACATGTCAAATTTCTTGTCAGGAGGGAGGTGGCTGGTTTGCAGGAAGTTCATATCTTGGGTCTAGCCTTCCTTGTGATGTATTGGAGCTAGACACTGCATGTATTTTATTCCAGAACTGAATTACTGCAGCTGTATGAGCGCTGTATTCTATTAGATATTGAATTCTCTGACAATCAGAATGTAGATCAGATCCTGTGGAAGAATGCCTTCTATCAGGTGATTGAGAAATTCAGGCAGCTTCTCAAGGATCCAAATATTGAGAACCCAGAACAGATTCGGAACAGACTCTTGGAGCTTTTGGATGAGGTAAATATTGTATTTTTTTGGTCATCAGGATAAAGTCTGCAGCATTTTTTAGTTTGTTTGTGTTTTCTACCTGAAATGTTTTAGAACAAAATATTGCTAAAACTCTTGTGTCTTTTTCTTGCATTTTGACTTGGTCTACCTTTCTGTAGTACTTTTTTTGGACTATACTTACTGACAGTTGGAGCTCCCTCTTTTTTTCTTTTTTCTTTTTCCTTTTTTCTTTTTAATGCTGGGGATTGAACTCAGGGCCTCGTGAATGGCAAGAGTTCTACTACTGAGCTACATTTCTAGTCCTGGAGCTACTTTTGAGCTTGAAAGCTTTCTGAATGACAGGGAGATGGGAAAAAAAATGAGAGAAATGAAGTAGGGAGGGGTGGGTAAATGGACCGTGTCTTTAAAACATCAGAGGCTTATACTATAAACTGGTGTTTACTTGATGGCCTCTAATTACTTAGTGTGTAGCTCCTTTTATATCAGATGTCTGGATATTGATAGAATTGTAAAAGGGTCATTTGCCCCAGTATCTGGCAAATACATTGGAAAAAAAAACCTGATTGATGCAAATATTTCTTTCTTTCTTTTTTTTTATAGGGTAGTGACTTCTTTGATAGTTTGCTTCAGAAACTACAGGTTACTTACAAGTTCAAACTGGAGGACTACATGGACGGGCTTGCCATTCGAAGCAAGCCTTTACGAAAGACAGTAAGCCAGTTTCTTTTTTTAGTTTAAATTTATTCACCTAGGCCTGGTGAAGTGATGCACACCTTTAATCCAGTACTTAGGAGGCAGAGGCAGATCCCTGTGAGTTCAGGGCCAGCCTGGTTTACATAGTGAGTTCCAGGCCATTGAGGACTGCAAAGATCCTTTCTCAAACAAACAAAAATTTATTTATCTATTTAATAAGCATTTATCTAGTACTAGTTAAGGCTTAGGCAACATGTAGGGTGTTGAGTATATCATAGTGAAATATCCAGTATAGTAGGGGAACAGATAGGTGAAACTATGATAAGTGGAACATTGTGGTATGTGCTAGTAATCCTGGATCAGGAATTCAAGGCCGGCCTTGCTACATACTGAGTTCTAAGGAAGTCTGAGCTATATAAAATTCTGTTCCCAAAACAAAAGTAAGACAAATTGTAACATTATAAACATTATGATGAACTTCACACTTGTAATCCCAACACTTGGGAAAATGAAGCCAAGAGGATTGCCAAGATTTTGAAGCCAATCTGGACGGCATAGTGAGTTCTAGGACAATCTGAACTACAAAGTGAGATAGTGTCTCAAAAGAAAACAAGGAGGCTGGAGAGATGACTCAGTTTTTAAGAGCACTTACTGCTCTTGCAGAAGACCTGGGTTTGGTTCCCAGTATCCACACGACTGCTCATAACCATCTGTAACTCCAATTCCAGGGGATTCAATGCCTTCTTTAGATTTAGTACCAGGCATGCAAGTGATGGACATAAATACATGCAGACAAAACACTCAGTCACACAAATTTTTAAAAGGTTAAAAAATAAAAAAGCAATTGGATGGTTCATAGCATCCTCCTTGGGCTTCTACATATACAACACACACACACACACACACACACACACACACACCGTGCATATCTAGCTGCACATCACACAGAACAAAATGGAAAAACAAAGCACACAAAGAAAAGGAAAATAAGCATTATAGTAAGTACGGAATAAGTAAAGGGACATGGAGGGAAGTAATTGAAGTTAGGCTCAGTGGACTCCAGGAAAACTTTTCAGAGACTTTTGAAAATGGTTCTGAGGATCAAAATTGGCTTCATTAATTGCTGGGCAATAACTGTACCACAATGGTCTATTCCTAGCTAAGCTGAGTCTGGAAAGATAAGTAGGAGTTTGAAGGGTGGGAGGACTAGTTAGATACAGGGCACAGTGAGAAAGAACCAGGTATTGGGAAACTACAAGAAGTTCATTCTTTTGGTGTTGGTAATATGGAGTTGGGGTTATTTCAGTGGATAAAGCTAAGGAAGTAGGAAACAACAGATCTTAAACCTTTAGGTGCCATGCTAAAGATTTGGAATTTATTCTTTAATTATTAATAATTAATTGAGGAATCATTGATTGCTTTTCAGAAAACATAATGGATTTGTTGTTAAAAAATCAGTCATTTTGATAAATTGTTGATTTGATAGGTGATAAGCAAGGGTGGATATAGGGGAGTCAGGTTAGAGGCATGGACTGAGGTAAAGAGAGATTTAGTGGAGGTGGAAATGAAAAGATAGATTAGAAAACCAGGTGTGCTGGTTTGTGTTTATAACCCCAGCATTTGGGAGGCTGAGGTAGCAGAATTGCTTCAGGTTCAAAGCTAGTCAGTGGTACATAGTCAGACCTTGTCTCAAAAGAAAAAAGGCCCAGGGATGTAGCTCAGTTGGTAGATTGCCTGCCTAGCATGCATGAAGTTCTGGGTTCTAACTCTAGTACCACATAAACTCATGTGTACACCTATAGTCCCAGCACTTGGGAGAGGGGGAGGAAGGAGGGTCTTTAGATGTGCAAGGTTAGCCTTATCTACATAGCAAGTTTGAGGCTTGACTGGGTTATATGAGATCCTATTTCCAAAACCAGAAAACAAAAACCAAACAAACAAACAAAAAAAGGAAGTAGAAATGAATTGCTAGTCCTTGTGATGTGGTGTGAAGGTTATCTGCTAGTTTATAGCCTAGAGGAATGGCCATAAAGAAAACTGCAGGTTTTTAGGATTTTATATACATGTGTACACAGAAAGAAACAGAGACTTTTTTGAAACTGAGTCTGTATTAGATATATTTCTGCACGGCAGAAGAGGACACCAGATCTCATTATAGATGGTTGTAAGCCACCATGTGGTTGCTGGGAATTGAACTCAGGACCTCTGGATGAGCTGCCAGTGCTCTTAATCTCTGAGCCATTTCTCCAGCTCCAGACATGGTCTTATAGCCAAGACTAGTCCTGAACTCCTTATCTTCCTTCCTCTACAAACCAATAGTGCTAAAAGGTATAAGCCGTCATGCCTTGCTAGGATTAGATAGATTTGGGTGAGATGTCTAGAATGAACTTGAAAATGAATTTTTTTCAAGTAGGTTCTTATGTAGCCCACACTAGTCCTTAACTTGATATGTGGCAAGTGCTGGGGTACTGGTGTGTGTTATTACATTAGGCTTACAAGGTAGTATTTTTTTTTTAGATTTTATTTTATTTATTACGTATACAATCTATACAGTCTTCTGCCAGCATGCCAGCAGAGGGCACTGGATCTCATTCAAGGTGGTTGTAAGCCACCATGTGGTTGCTGGGAATTGAACTCAGGACCTTTGGAAGAACAGGCAGTGTTCTTAACCACTGAGCCATCTCTCCAGCCCCAAGCAAGTATTTTTATCTGTTTAGAATTTAGGAGAGATTGAGTCATTAGTGTGTAGGTGGTAGTTTTTTTGTTTTTTGTTTTTTTTAAGTTTTATTTTATTTGCATTGATGTTTTGCCTGCGTGTATGTCTATGTGAGGATGTCAGATCTTGGAGTTACAGACAGTTGTGAGCTGCCATGTGCTGAGAATTGAATCCAGGTCCTCTGGAAGCCCAGTCAGTGCTCCTAACCACTGAGCCATCTCAGTGGTAGTTGAAACAGAAGTTGGGATATTGATTAAGGCTGGTCAGAAAAGTTGATCAGATTGAAAGCTAAGGGTGGGTAACATTGTCAACTGTTATAGTTTTCATTTTCAAATGTCAAGATTATATTAAAAATATGCCTTTTGAGGATGGCAAGATGGGTAAAAGCAAGCCTGACGACGTGAGTTTGAACCCTGTGACCTATATGGTAGAAGCAAAGCTGATTCTGGGGAAGTTGTTCTCTATCCTTCAGACATGCACCAAGACCTGCAAGTACATGCCTTTGCGAGTGCACACGCATGCGTGCGTGCACGCACACGCGCGCGCGTATACACACACACACACACACACACACACACACACACACACACACACACACAATGTCCATTAGATTGAATGACCTTATCAAGAACTTTGTTTTTTGGGCTGGAGAGATGGCTCAGAGGTTAAGAGCGCCGACTGCTCTTCCAGAGGTCCTGAGTTCACTTCCCAGCAACCACATGGTGGCTCACAACCATCCATAATGAGATCTGGTGCCCTCTTCTGGTGTGCAGATATGCACGGAAGCAGAATGTTGTATACATAATAAATAAATAAAATCTTTAAAAGATAAAAAAAGAACTTTGTTTTTTAAATCAGAATAGGAAAAGTTAATTATTGAGTAGATTGTAAAGGGGCAGCAGGCTGGGCAGTAGCTAGAGTACTGCCTGTAGCTAGGAGTTCTTAGGGTTGAAAGGATAGAAGCTAGGTTATGTTGAGAGGTAGGTAAGGCATAGTGTAGATTATTACTTAAAAGAATCATGTTTGGGAGGCAAGGAGAGAGGATAGGTAGAAATTTAAGGTCAAGATAAACTTTGATTTAGACTTTATTGCATTTTTGGTTTTATTGAAATAGTTTTGTTAAATAACCCTAGCTGGGGCTGGGCAGTGGTGGCGCATGCCTTTAATCCCAGCACTTGGGAGGCAGAGGCAGGCAGATCTCTGTGAGTTTGAGACTAGCCTGGTCTACAAGAGCTAGTTCCAGGACAGCCTCCAAAGCCACAAAAAAAAACCTGTCTCGAAAAACCAAAAAACAAAACAAACAAACAAACAAAAACCCTATCTGGCCTAGAACTCACTTTATAGAACTCATTATATCTGTTCTCTGCCTTTCAAGTGCTGTGATTAAAGGTGTGTGCCTTGTCTGGCCACTGGTTGAGGGTGTTGTGGACACCTTTAGTCCCAGGACCTGAGTGGCAGAGGCAGGTGGATTTCTTGAGTTCCAGGACAGCTAGGGCTACAAACAAACAAAAAAAGGCATGTGTCCTGTCTGAACATTTTTATTTATTGTTGTTTTGGAGACAGAATCTCATGTATAGGTCAGATACCCTGGGGTCCTAGAATTCATTGTGTAGTATTGGCTGGCCTTGAAATCAAGATCTGCCTGTGTTAGTCTCTAAACTCGAGGAATATAGATGTGTGCCCCCATGCCTGGTGGGGGTGATATTTTTGTTTTGATTTGGTTTAATTTTTTTTTTTTATGTTAGGGTATGTTACTGAATGTAGAGCTCACCACTTTGGCTAGACTGTCAGGCAAAAATCCTAATAATCCTCTGAGTCTCCTTCCCCACCTACAGGTGCATGAGGCCAGGCTCAGCTTTTACACGAGTGCTGGAGATCTAAATGCAGGTCCTTATGCTTGTACAGCAAGCACTTTACCTATGATCCAACTCTGCAGTCCCTAGGATATGTGTTTTAAAATTTTGGTTTTAGACATTTATTTTATGTGTATGAGTGTTTTGCCTGCATGTATGCCTGTGTGTGCCTGATGTTCAGGGAGGTCAGGAGACAGTATCAGATTGCCTGGAACTGCAGTTACAGATGGCAATTGTGAGCCATCATGTGGGTGCTGGGAAGTGAACCCTGGTCTTTTGCAAGAACAACAGGTGCTCTTAAGAACTGAACTGTCTCTCCAGCCCCTGAATATGTATTAAATGCAGATGAAGAAATCTAGTTCCAGGCATTCCCAAAGGCTTCCTTGAGATCACACAGATTCCTTGACTGTTAGTTTCAGAATGCATTTTTCCATTTGTGTAGGACTCAGAGCAAGAGTCACCACTCCCACTTGACTGCTGTGTTTTCTCACTACATTTTGTATCATGTTGGTGGTGGTTTTCTGTTGTTAAGATCCCACCCATTTCTTCTAGTACTGAATTGTGTTTCTTGGGTTGTCTATTCTGTAGGTAAAATATGCCTTGATCAGTGCTCAACGCTGTATGATTTGCCAAGGAGATATCTCTAGGTATCGGGAGCAAGCCAATGATACAGCAAACTATGGGAAGGCACGCAGGTACAGCTCTCAGCTCTTTATTTCTCTTCCCTGTGTGACATTAAGTGAATCATTGTAAGACATCAGACCACTTGAGCTGCCTCCCATATGGAATGCCCTAAAGTTGTCCTTAATTCCTTAATTGTGCTTTACCAATTGAGGTCTATATCTAGTTAACTTTCTAGTCTAAGACTTAAGTAGAAGGGCTAGGAGGATGGATTGGGAAAGAGTCGATAAGAGCATTTCATTCTGTTTTTCTATTCTAGTTGGTACCTGAAGGCCCAACATATTGCTCCCAAGAATGGGCGCCCC